TACCAACTTGAGCGCGTTTTGTTCAAAGGTGAGTGGAAGTCGACCAGTGGCACCGTCGAAGGTTCACCGAAAGAGTCAAAACTCAAAAGGGCTATCTAATCTTTTCCGTGGCGTTGTATAGCTCTATATAATTGGCTCCCGAGTTGTGCGTGGGTGTAAAAAAAAAAAATTGAAAGGCAATATCTTCCATTTAATGACCTCTGGTGACCTGACCTTTGACGTAGCCTATAAAACGAATGTAATATTTTCGTCGCCCTTATTTTGGACGGTCTTTCGAATGCCGTTTACTGCTTGTCACTACGCGAACCAAGATCCGAGTTAAAAGGGCGGGTGCTTGACCCCCCCCCCCCCCCCCTCCCGAGCAGGGCGTGGAAATCAAGGACCCTCAGCGGGGTGCGGGTTAGATATCTTGAGTTGACAACCAAATAAACCCGTTTGCCTTTGGACGACAACCACCGAAACACTTTTTTCAGCCCTGGTACTAACAACACTTATCATTTGGAACACGATGACCGATGAATTGCCGTCTTGTCAGCATCTCAGTGCTACCCTGAAACCTCACATAGCTGGTAATTTTACATACATAGTACCATGTTTACCGAATCCCTACCTCATCAACTCAGCAATTCATCACAGTCAGCTGTACGGGACGTTGGATGTGTATAAATAGGTGTTTGCGCAACATCGCACGTGTTTATGCACGTGCCTGCGCAACAATACGTGATGAACCACGTGATGCGCAACACGATGCGTTTAGGTAGTTAAACGTTTACGCGGCACCGTGTGTGTTACGTCATGTGTATGCGCACTGTGCAGCATTGCGCGTGTAGCAAACTGTTGGTATGTGCAGCATTACGCGTGCATAATCGTGCGCTCGATATGCGTCAAGTATGTTGCATGCTAGGCTGATGCATATGTTATCCATTATGCAATGTACGATTGAAACCCAATGGTTTAGGTGTTAGTGGTATATCTGTGTTCTGCATGCCTCCTTGACATGGGACACATGCGGTATGCATTCAGAAAACATTCACAATGTGCGCGAACTGTGTGTCGTAACCCAGTGAATGTGCACTTGGGTTTTTCACATCGTATTTTGTGTACACGACACGTGCATGTGAAAAAAAGGCGCGCGCGTTGCGCAGCCATGCGCGTCGTTCGACACACATTGTAAACGTAAACTGTGTCGTTTGTGTGGAGCACGAGTGACGTATTTGTTAAATGTAGTGTAATCAATGTCAACTGCCCTGCCAGAATAGCTCCGTAAAGAGAAAAAATGCAGAGAAAATCAAATGAAAACGCTGGTAAATCTGGATGACCATCCCATTTTTTATTATTAGCCCTGGCTACTGTTACGACATAACAGGATCATAGTCACTTACATTGCAATGTTTTGGCAATGTCAACAGTGATGTGTTTGCACTCATCAAATGTGCTAAGCCTATCCAAGTGACTGCCAAAGGTGTTCCTTTTCTTAATGCGTAACGCAGCTGGATAAGGTTAGATTCCAGAGTCACCTCACTGTTAAGGAGTTCACCAGATGCGTGTGTCGTCCTATCATAGATGTATTTTTGGGAAAATACACGGTACGCCATTTCCCCCCTGTTTGAGCTTTAGGGTGCGTTCGGAGAGGCAGATTCCCGGGGAATATTCCACGCCGGCATGAAATTTCCGCCGAATGTGCCGTTCGGAGAGCGATTCCCGGGGAAAGTTCCGCGGAACGGACGCGGAAAGCGCGGAATCTAAAAAGCAGATCACGCGTCGTTCCCGTCAAGATGGCGGCGCCCATCATTATGCTCGAGTGAGTATATTATTGAATATAAATGGATATTTCTTGCGTTTGTTTCCACCCTGATCAGTTTTATTGCAAATCCAACAATTGATAATGCTTTCTCAGTTGTGTGATTGTTCTCTGAAGCAATGAAAACGATAATTTGAAGTGTTGTGTTGTGTGTGTTTGGGGTGGGCGGGGGGGGGGGGGGCACAGTACAGATGGGACTTTTTGAAAATAATTGTGATTTTTGTTAGTTGTTCTTTCTTCAAGAGCTTCATTCTTATTACATCTTGCCATAGATGTAGCGTTCCAAATAACCAAATAACCCAAATAACCCAAACAAAATCCCACGAACTCAACTTGGCGCAGTATCGGCGATCCTTGAAATTGGCGGTATGGAATGTCCCTCTCCGAACGCAACACGGGGAATTTTCACAATGACGGGGAATATTCCGCGCTCTCCGAACGCACCCTTAGTTAAGTCACGGTATCTTTTGCCCATATACCACAATGTGTCACTGTTCCTCGCCCTGATATTGTTGAATATTTGTTAACGACCTTTTCCTCAAATAAAGAAAGGTTTAAAAGTGGAAAGTGGTATATTCTATAGTTAGTGAATTTCCATATCGCTACAAGATGTTCGTCGCCAGAGCACTCAACAACATGCTTCTCTTCCCACTCAAGTTCAACAGTGCTAAGGCTTTTCGAGCCTCATCCCTTATTGCAACACCCATGCGACTTCCTTCCGTTGCTTATTTCTATTCAGACACATAACCCGTCAGGATAATCCTCAGCTGTGTCCACTCTCGCTTGTTGCATCTCCCACCTTAAGACGATCTTTCCCTATCGCCAAGCAGAGGTACCCTCCTTTCCCCTCCCCTTCAGGGTACCCCACAGTCGAGTGACCTTTCATTTCCTATCGCCGGTCACTCGAGCCGAGAAAGGCGGCACCGTCGACGGCATGACCTTCAGGAAGTGGTCGGTGGCGGGGCACATGTCGACACGCCATCATCGCCCGGGGCTAGAAAGGTCCGACCGGCGCGGGCGGCAGAGCGAGCCATCAGCAGTCCAGCAGTCTGAAGGACGTAGAAAGGTCAGCCAATGAGCCACCGAGAGGACCCCTGAGGGTCAGACGCCAGGTATTGGGGAAATGACGGGGATGTGGATGTCGCTCGACATGACGAACTACCTCTGAATACTACACAGGAGCAAAGGTGAGGGCTGTGGCGTCTGTGCCTGTCCCGAGGCGGTGAGACGGGAGTATCCGGCGAGACAGACCACCAGGACGTTCAAGCGATCACTCTGGAAAGATGTGTTCCAATTAAAATTGACCGTCATTGGCTACCGGTCAGGTGACCGCCAACCAGAAATGGGAGATCCGGGATCACGGATATGGATGGGCTCTGGCAGGTTGGGACAATCGAAAGAATTGACATATGTATCTCGCTATCGCAAGGAAGCAGAGTTTTCAACCGTGTTAAATGTGGTGGTATCACAAAAAGCGACAATAACCTCTACAACACTGGCGGAGCCAGAAAGATGGCTTCAAAACATTGTCATTTTCGGACAATGCGCCTTGGTTACAGAAATGCCCCAAAACTATTGTATTTCAGTTGAGACAAGTATAATAACAATTTAAGCACCACATTGTCACATGCTTGTTTAAAAGTGTATGTAAAAATCAAAACGATTGAACTGTGATATTTGCTCGATGTGTGCCTCTTGTTCTCCTTTTAGACGCTGATGACGGTGATTTAGCCGAAACGCGTTCGTCTATCATTTTTGTTCCGTGTTATTATGCCCCAAAACGTTCTGTACCTTTGGACACGCCAGTGCTCTACAACTGTCTTCTTCCTCTGCAAAAAAAAAAAAAAAACAATCCAGTTGAGGGAATGTTGATCTTCTCTCTTTTGTCTGATGCCTGTCTCTGGTGCATACGTAACACAATTTTCCGACTCTCGCTATGTGAGTTTAACCTTCTCAGATCGGTTTCAACCAGCCACCCGCCTCCCAACGGAGTTACAAACCCACGACATCGCACAATCATCACCTTACGGGTCCAAGCCCGAACGTAAAAAAAAAAAACTGTTAAGCGACGGTAGTTTGGAAGTCGGAAGTAGTGGAAACTAGCAAGTTTTGGAGGTACTTTTTCATTTACATACTCTCAATCTTCTCTCAAGTGACATCCTTTGTCAACCAATGAACGTAGTTACGCGCAACCTACAGCAATGGCGTAAGCTCACCACGTGAGCTTAAAATCCCTCCTCTTCTGCCCTCCATCCCCATTTCTTTGTCATACACCCTCTCTCTCTCTCTCTCTCTCTCTCTCTCTCTCTCTCTCTCTCTCTCTCTCTCTCTCTCTCTCTCTCTCTCTCTCTCTCTCTCTCTCTCTCTCTCCTCTCTCTCTCTCTCTCTCTCTCTCTCTCTCTCTCTCTCTCTCTCCTCTCTCTCTCTCTCTCTCTCTCTCTCTCTCTCTCTCTCTCTCTCTCTCTCTCTCTCTCTCTCTCTCTCTCTCTCTCTCTCTCTCTCTCTCTCTCTCTCTCTCTCTCTCTCTCTCTCTCTCTCTCTCTCTCTCTCTCTCTCTCTCTCTCTCTCTCCTCTCTCTCTCTCTCTCTCTCTCTCCTCTCTCTCTCTCTCTCTCTCTCTCTCTCTCTCTCTCTCTCTCTCTCTCTCTCTCTCTCTCTCTCTCTCTCTCTCTCTCTCTCTCTCTCTCTCTCTCTCTCTCTCTCTCTCTCTCTCTCTCTCTCTCTCTCTCTCTCTCTCTCTCTCTCTCTCTCTCTCTCTCTCTCTCTCTCTCTCTCTCTCTCTCTCTCTCTCTCTCTCTCTCTCTCTCTCTCTCTCTCTCTCTCTCTCTCTCTCTCTCTCTCTCTCTCTCTCTCTCTCTCTCTCTCTCTCTCTCTCTCTCTCTCTCTCTCTCTCTCTCTCTCTCTCTCTCTCTCTCTCTCTCTCTCTCTCTCTCTCTCTCTCTCTCTCTCTCTCTCTCTCTCTCTCTCTCTCTCTCTCTCTCTCTCTCTCTCTCTCTCTCTCTCTCTCTCTCTCTCTCTCTCTCTCTCTCTCTCTCTCTCTCTCTCTCTCTCTCTCTCTCTCTCTCTCTCTCTCCTTCTCCTCCGGTCATCCATCGCTGCCTCCTACGAGCCCGTTGGTCGGCCACGCCAAGCTCCAGTGACCTCGACGCTCCTGTTTCATCTCACTTTCGACGGCCGCGCGCCGGTCGGTCGTCCCACTCAGTCGGTCGCGCGCTGTCGAGGTCGACTCACGGCTCGTGCTGCTCGCGCGAGCCGCCGCACGAGACGCTACGTCGTCAACGTCAACGGCAACGGCAAGGGGTGCGTCTCGTTCCAACGTCAACTCACGAGTGTTCGTCAGAGTCTGCGTCATTCGAAAGTGGTAGCGATAGAGTTGGTGTCATCGACTTTGTCAGCGCCTTCATCGGGAGCTTCTTCAAGAGCTTCGTCAGGAGCTTCATCTCCATCAACGTCAGCGTCATCATCATCGTGTACCTTGCCGTCAGTGCTAGCGTAGCGCTTGCGTTGGAGTTCGCGTGTTCCTACCTCTTGAGGACTTGTGGACCTGTCTTCTGCGAAGATAACATCAGCATTTGTGTGCAAGCTGTGTTGATATTTTAAAAGCTTCTTGTTGGAGTTGGAGTTTAATCGTCGCACCAGGTCAATCTTCGCTGGATACGAATCAACTCCATTTCGAAGACCCTCGCCTTAATCGTCGCCTCAGAAACTGTTGTGGCTTGATTTTCGTTATAGCTTCCAAGTCCCGACATCCTGACCTCATAGTGACCTTCGTCTCATTTTCCTCTTTCTCTCAATCCTGTAATCCAATTCCGACGTTTGCATCATGAGGAGATAGCGTGGTGACCCGGTTGGTTTCAAGATCAACCTAAGAAGTGACACACTACAACTACAACTTCTGCGAGTGTGACTCGTGTGTGTTCTGTTCGTGCGAACAAGTGTAGAGAAGCCCAACAAAAACACACCACGATGCGGTTAAGAAACTTGGCGTCAGCGGTAACAGGAGTGATTGCTGCGCTAGTTCTTTGCTCACATAGAACTCAGGTAAGTTGCACTAAAACTAACTGGATGCAGTCTGAGAGACAAAGCCTGATTGGGTCATGCAAGACAGAATATGTACATACTCGTATGTGTATTACAATTAAATTAATCACGAATGTGCAATGCTGCTGTGTATTTTCGCTGCATGCTTGGTGGTGGTTGTGTACAAAATGCATAAAATTGCATCCTAACGCATGCTAACTATTAGTTAAAAAGACAAAACTCCCCTTCATTTCAACACATTTCAAACAAAGTGGAAAAAATATGTTGTCAGTTGCCACCACATAAAAATACCAATTTTGGAATACAAATTTGAGCAAAAACTCCGTCCCTAAATTTTGAAATACCAGAGAAGACAAAAAACAAACGGGTCTCACCGAATTGGACATAGAGCCACTGACAGTCCGTTATAACTGTATTTTGTCTTGTTTCACTGCCCTCCTGAAGGTAACTATGCCAGAAAGCCACATGAGTCAAAGTGTAAAAAAGGTAGGGTAAAAACGTTTGATGTAATATCACTAAGATCCAGACCCATAAAAACAAGCCGTGAAGATTTCTAGACCGGAAAAGTCAGACACACGTAATTCATGCCTGAGATAACTTAGTCGCCACTGTATCATTGTGTCTCTTGTTTGACCCTTGGCGACATGTTTTACACCCTAATTATAACACAAATGACCTCATTAGAGTCCACACCACCCACACGTTTCGGCGGCCGGCGCGCCGCGCCAGTTTTGTGTCACATACCGGGCCGGTGCGCCGGTATAGTCACCGAGACGGAAACGGCGCCCACATGACTCCGGCCGGACGTGAGAAAACGAACAAACTGGCCAGCTCATAGACTGTTGTTTGACGGTCGCCGGCGACTTGTGATCCTTGGCCCGCGCTGATATTTGAACATGGAAATGTATCAATGGATGTGATTAAGCAGTAGGTCGCACACATAGAAGCTGTTCAAATAAGGAACGAATAGTGGGAACAATACCAAACAGCCCTTTGCAAAAGTAGCTGGGAAATATTTTAGACAAGTGGCATCAAAATGGCAGCACTTTGCTCTAAAAGAATCGGTGTGGTGCTCTTCAATTGTCATTTTTATATACAGGCTGACCCAAAAAAAATTGGAACCCCTAATTTAAAATGTCTATAAGTCCGAAAATATTTTTTCTGTTGACACATTGCGAACACCATTAGAAAGAGCATTAAATCCTCTATAAAATCACGTCAAATTGGTGCATGGATGTTGTAAAGCATTGGCACACTATTAGCTTTTGGAATGAGCGTCAGAAAACTGAGTGAAACGAAATCGCCAAATGTTAACGATGCGCTGAATTCCGTTAGCACTCTATCTGTTGTCTTTTTGCGAATAACACAACATCCAAATTAAATTTTATTTCATAAAAGTTTACACAGAAACACACAGTAGAACAGATACACGCGTCCTGACTTCCGCTGTTCATCCCAGCATGTGCTCAACGGCGGCGAGCTCCGTGGGCCGTCACGCAGGCCTGCAGTCGCTTGGGGACAGCTCCGACCACGCGGACCAGCAGTCTCTGGGACAACTGATCCCAGCAGGCCGTCAGCCTTTCCTTTCCTTACAATATCACGTGAATGAGCTATTTTTATTCATGAGCCCCCAACAAGCGACATGGTCAGAACAGCAAACCATCAATCACTGATTTGCGCAAAATGTTCAAAACCGTTTCACTGAGTTTCGTGACACAAATTTTATAGTCATATGTCTAGGGCAATATTTATAATAATAATTAAGTTCAATCAACGTGGTTTTATAGAGAATTGAACGCTCTTTCTAATGGTGCTTGCAATTTGTCAATAAAGTGAAAATTTTCTGACTTTAACCCGCGCCCAGATGGGGTCTGCCGAGCAACGCGGTCTGATGGGGGGGGGGCATTTTGGCCCCCCCTCAGATCTCGAGAACCACGCAACATAGCGACAAGCGGTAAACGGTGTTGGATAGCCCCAACGGGGAACTACCTTGTGACCCAATTTCATTGACCTCGGTCAAACCGATGACGTCACAGGTCAGGTCAAATGTCGAATTTTCACCGTTTACAGGCATTTCAAGAAATGCGTTGTAAAATCGTGTAAAATGCATTTCATTGAAAATCATCGATGGGGAAATGTTCTTCAAACACATATTTTGCTATTTGAGGTCACTGATACCAGGTCAGGTCACAGAGGTCAGGTCACTGGGGGGTCACAATATGAAAGTGTCGTGTGATGCATGTTTTATGGTCCATTTTACATGACAAATGCGATTATGTGGGTCAGACAGACTTTAGGGCCAGCTTAGGTCACGTTTTGGTCAAGTTCAGGTCAAGGTCAGGTCAAGGTCAGGTCAAATTAGGTCAAATTTCAAAGTTGATATTTTTGCATAAAATGGGTATCGATTCGATGCAGCTCGTCACGGGGAGTTCAATGGTGGTCTCCGTTTTTGCGCTACGAGGTCTACAATTGCTAAAAATTGAGTTCAAAAATTTGACGTCATCAATTTTTAACAGTTTTTTTCGCTATAACTTGGCCAAAAAAAGAGGTATCGATCTAAAATTTGGTATGTATATCGAAGAGCGCAGGGACTATCACATATATTCCGGTTTTTTTTCGAAATTCGAAATTTTTTTGGAAATATTTTGAGTTTTTCTAAAAAAATCAATTTTTTTGATTTTTGGGGGTCAAAATCCCAAAATTTCGAAAATCGGAGATAGCAGTTTTGTAGCGCCGTCTTTTCTCTACACAACCACATAAAGAACTTTAAAATTGCTTGTTAACTGTAGAATTGGTGAGCGTTTCAAGATGTCATGTTTTTTGCTCATTTTTACTCGAACATGACCTCAGTTTGACCTCAATAACTCCTGACCTGAGGTGACCTGTGACTTGAAATTTTGTGTGAAGGTGTCAAATTGATGTCCGCTAAGGTACCCAAAATTTGGCGGCGCTGCGCGCCGCCGTTTTCTCGCTATTTAAGAAAAACCACAGGGGGGGCCAAAATGCCCCCCCCCCCATCAGGGCGCGGGTTAAGACATTTTAAGTTAGGGGTTCCAATTTTTTTGGATCACCCTGTATGATGCCGGTAACAGAAAACACATAAGCTATATTCATGTTGTTATTGATACTGGTGTCCACGTTTATTTGTCTATCATGTAAAATCGAGCCTTGCCTTCGTAAGGAACACATCCGACTCGCCGAAATATAACGTTCATTGACTATAACATCCATTGTGAGTCACTCGTACAACCGCTGACGCCCAGAGGTCACATACGAGGTCGGACGAGGTCGCCGGGACCACCGCAGTCGGCTCACCTTTCACAAGGTCATAACGGTACTCCGGTACGGCGGTGCCTGACCCGGTGACACACCGGTTAACCCACCCCGGGGTCCTCCGCGTTACGAGTCGCTCGGGGCTCCTGACTTTACACCGTTAATCACTGTTTTCGTCATCTTCTGGTATCTTCTGATAGCTGTGGAGTCCTGATAATTCCTGGAAGGACTTGATGCCTTCCAGGAAGTCTTCGTTAGTACAAGTAGCTCCTGATTTTATCTGCTAACTAGCTCTTGGTATATCCCGGTAGGTCCTGGTATCTCTTGGTAGGTCCTGCGAGCTCATAATACCTGCTGGTAGATCTTGGTGTAGGCCCAGGAAACTCCTGGTAGCTCCTGCTAGAGCTAGCAACTAGAGCTATAATAGCTCTAGCAGCTCTAGCGAGCTAGAGTTGCCATTAACTAACAGGAGTTAATGGCAGCTCTGCCATTAACTCCTGTTAGTTCCTAATATCCTTGAGTAATATCTGGTGCCTCGGTAGATCCTGCTAGGTCCTGGTATATCCTAGTATAGTGGAATACCCTGGCATAGCCCGGTATATCCTGGTATATCCTGCTACCTTCCCACCGCTCGTATCCGGTCCGCAGTCGGGTTTCTCTGTCGGATCGATACCCGCCCCCGGACCGCCGAGTTGATGTCTGATCGGGCCGTGTGTCGGCCTCTCGGCCAGCCTGCCGCGCCTGATTTGGGTCAGGGAGAGACGGAACAGGTCGCGGAGGCACCGCTCGTCGCGTCTCTCTCACCTCTCGTGGTTTGAATCTCGTGTGTAAAGTCGAGAGGGTATATAGGGCCTTGGTCGAGAGTATATCGCCTCTCCTGTCTCTGATCAATAATCTTGCAGCTAGCACTTGCCTGGAAGTTCAGAGCTTGCAACTAACGTTTCGCATCTCGTTTCTATTCTCCGACGTCCTACAGACACCAGTGAACGAAAATGACATCGCCTTTGTACTCACCGTTTGAAAAAGGCGTCATGCCAAGATCACAGGAACGCGGTGCAGACCGAGGGAGTAGGGCTAGGGATAAAAATGGTAGGACACATTTAATATTGATCCATGGAGTTCTTGTGTATAAATTGGTAGTTCTTTGCATTTCTGAAAAAAAAAATAGGCACGTGACAATCATATTCCTGAAATCGGCTGTGATAACGGTTCGAGGAGTTTGAAGCTTCTGGTTCAACGAAACCTTCCCACTTCATTTCCATTCTCTATGCGCTTGTCTAACGATCATCACTCAAAACCAGCTGGGGCCCGGCTGAGGCACCGGACCTCCGTCCAGGTTTGAGAGCCTCTGCCGCTGAGATTGTGAGCCCCTGGAGCGGATCTCCCACGAGCCTCACCAGATGTTCATTTCGAACACGCACTCGGTCTATGACTAATGAATGAATTCGGTCAGCGCGACCTCAAACCGTGGAAAGCGACACCGTCTGTTTCAGAACACGTGACAGGCCAGTCGGAAGCCTTTTCCTCGAAGGTTTTTCTATTGGCAGGCACGCATGTTCCTGTGATGCTCTTCGTGACATCTGGTTCCAAACGATGTTGCATACTAAATACATCACTTGTTTTTCACTCGGGTGAGTCATATATATTTATAAAAATTATTGCTCAAAAGTGTATTGGCGAATACTGAAATTGCCGGAAGATCGTGTGATTATCTTAATGAAGTCGGAAGCTCAGTGCATGCTGAATTGGTCGTCACTGAACTTGAAACTCCTCGCACCACCACACTCGTCTGAGACCCCTGAACTTGGCCCTAGATCCAGACATCTTTCCTTTATCACTCCATCTTTTGTGTTTCCCCAAGCGAAAGTGGTGCGATAACGATGACAAGTGACTTGAAAAAAATACGAACGTTGACACAGCAGTTGTTGATGTAGTAAGTAAAGGTACTTTGGGAGTGGGAATGTCTTCCGGTAGTTTTCGCAAGGCTTTTCGATTGTTCTCCGTCCTAATCCAGACTTGATTCAGACATTCATTAGGGATATGACTCGGCCGAAAGCGAGTCATTTTGGCTCATGATCAGCGAACTGTTTGAACTGTTCCTGAACTATTCACACGTCTGCAATATGCACCATGCATCTGACCTTGGCATGCGTGTTTGAGATTGTATCAAATAACAAACAATATAAGCCAACCCAACTTTACTCATTGAGACGAGAAAAAAATCAAAATCTTCTACTCTAATGATACTCGGATCCAGAAAATGCTCTTGAGTGTTACTTGTTGTCATTAAGTAAAGTATAATGTCATTTACGGCTTTTGGATGCCTGACTGCTGCAATCAGTGTTAAGAACACAATTACTCCACGAAATGCTCAGCGGCAAAACATAGTGTTCATCCGCACTTATCATGCCAAATAGAGGGTCATTTATACCACATAACGTCTCATTTATCTCAGTTAGTTTCGCTCGCATTTGTCGTAATAAGTACTCGGTAATTCACATACCTCACGCTAATTCATATTCAGACGCTGTAATTCAGTTCGCGTGTCTTACTAGCGTAACCGTAGCACTCGGCTTGTCGAGCGTCCAAGACGTTGGTTGGTTGCTTGTTGAGAAGTTCCGCATCTCAACTACTAAGTGCTATGCGGAACTCTCACACAAGCGGCAGGTCAGCGACAAGGTCACGTGGCTAGTGCGAGAATCAAATTAGGATGCCTTTTTGTTTTTGCCTTTGTTGCAATTTTGGGCAGTTCGGCATGGCTGGCTAGTGGCTATGTTGATTTAGCATGGCATAGCATAGCTGGGTACCCGGATAGATGGCTCAAGAGGATAGGATCTGACTGCATATCCGACTTCTCCCCACGTGCTCTCGTACTTTTACCGTCGCGGATGACACGTCATCTTTCTCGCACTACTAGCCCTGAATGGCTGGTTCCGGTCCGATTGGCAGCGACCCAATCTGACCGCTAATTAGCACGAGAGAAACGACCTAATTAGCACCCTCTGTGTCAATGTGTGACACCCGTGAGACACCCTCGACACCCCTGTCAAGGTAACAGGGGGGATGGCGAGTGACACTGTTTAAAGCCGAGTGGATTGGATGTCAGCTCTATAAGGCCATGAATACACAGACTGGCTTTGACACAGTGTACTGTGTAGTGTGGTGAAGTGCGGCGCTGTCGGTTTGGACAACTGCCAAAGCTAACGGAACGTGACCGTGGCCAGTGGAGAAAAAGTGATGCAAACGCGTCAGTAAATCTTAGCGTTCAACATAGTTGGTCTAAAAATGATACCAGAAACCCAAAATGATTTTTGAACGACAATCGCATGATAATACTTGGAAACAAGTGTCATAAGAAATTTGGTACGGCTCCGCGGACCGCCTCCTCCCCCTTGACGTCTGAAAGTTTGTCTCAGACTTCGAGCAATATAAGTCTATTGCTTATTTTTGAGTAACCTATTTCATGCAGCACGGGTATTCTCTGTTTTATTACCAGCTGATGCAGTGCCAATCCCATCGGTGCTAGACATCAATTTTGTCCTAAAATGAACTTTTGACCCTGCACTTTTCTTTGAAATATTTGCATGTAAATGCACACGGCACATCTCTATTTGAATTTTGCACATTATAGACGCAATGCATGTAAATGGATGCATATATAAAGACATAAAGACATAAATTTGCAGTACAACAAAGAGCCACTGGGGCCCATACTTGGTTGCACATTTGCACAGTCTGTACTCTGTCAAAATGCGTGCCACCTTTCCGCTTTTCTCCCTAACTTATGTGTGTGAAGTTGGCACAAAACAGCGACACATTGCAGGCATAAAGCATACCTACACCACATTACACAACATTTTGCCACTTCATCACTTCATCAATCATTTCGTCACAACTCTTCCCTGCCCCCCCCCCCCCCCCGGCCACGCACTATCATCGCCAAATGTCTCACAAGTCCACTGCCATGCAAGGCATCTCCAAACAATTCGCATGTAAGCTCAACGGAACAGCATCAAACACCCGCAACAACATTCTGCAGACATATTGCAACCTAATACCAGGCATAATTTTTGCTATGAATTCACGCACATCTTACATTGATCACATGCACACATCAGTTGGCTAGTCCCACCTATATCTGTATACTATATCCCGCTCTGTAAAGTATTTGTCTAGGCTATGTTTAAATGTTTCGAGGGAGGTTGCACTTATTACACTAGTTGGTAAACTGTTCCAATGACCTACCACTCTTCTACTGAAAAACGACTGCCTTAACTTTGTCCTGCTACGTTTAATGGCAAGCTTATATTGATGGCCCCTGCTTCTGCCCTCCAAATTGAAATCAAACATATCCTTAAGGTATCCTGTGGCTTGGCCATTTACGAATTTAAACACCTCGATCAAGTCTCCCCTAAGCCTTCTGTATTTGAGAGAAAATAGCTTAAGCGATTTTAATCTATCCTCATAATGCAGATCTTTCATACCATTTACCATCTTTGTCGCCCTTTTTTGCACTCTTTCCAAAAGCAAGCTATCTTTTTCATGCATTGGAGACCATGACTGAACGCAATATTCCAAATGAGGCCTAACGTATGCACAATAAAGCGTAAGCAAAACCTCTGCACTTTTGTACGAAACATTCCTGTTTATTGCTCCAAGCATCCGAAGGGCCTTTTTTCTGGCTGCTTGTACTTGTTCAGTTGAAGAAAGCTTCTTATTAATAATCACGCCCAAGTCCTTTTCACTGTCTATATTACATAATGTTTGTCCCCCCATTGTGTATGAAGTGTCATAATGTTCTCTACCAATATGCATGACCTTGCACTTTTTAAAATTAAACTTCATTTGCCACTGCTCTGACCATTTTACGAGCCTATCAAGATCTGATTGGAGCTCATTATGATCCTCATCGTCCCCTATAACCCTAAATATTTTAAGATCGTCAGCAAATTTCAGCACATCACTATTCACGACAGTTTCGATAGAGTTAACAAAAATTAAGAAAAGCAATGGTCCCAGGACGGATCCCTGTGGAACCCCACTTAGCACATTTCTCCATTTTGATTTAGTGCCATTTAGCACTACCCGCTGTTATGTAATGCATGCAAGTTCCAGGTAGCTTTGATATAAATATTTGCACCATTTTCTTGTTAGAATCATGGATATCTTTACGTTAATGCTAATGCACATCATTGTTGTGTCGACTGCAATGTAGTAAGCTACTAACAACGCATATATGTAAATCTGTATATAATTACCAGTCATAAAAGACAACTGCTTGGTGTAAACCATTGGTACTGCTCATGTGTAGGAACTGCTGCAGCTCATAAAATCGCGCTAACTGTTGTAAATTGCTGCCTCATTATTTGCCATCGCTGCATGCCACCGCTGCCATCGCTGCTGTGTATATGCTGTGACCGCGTGTTGGCCCCGACGACCGCGACACTCCGGACCTGACCTGACCCGACCTGACCTGACCTGACGCCCGACCTGGCCCGGCCTTCCAGGCAGCTATGGGCTGGGACACTCTCTTCGGTGAGAGGCGCTACGAGCCGCCCAAACGCTGCAACTGCGGTGAGTAGGACCCATGGACGTGAAAAGACGGGCAACGACTGAGCCAGGTTCGAGTCTCATCGACGCCGAAATATTCACACACATATGTCTACATACACATTACGGATGCACTTACCACTTGTTTTTTTTTTTGACATTTCAAAATAAGTTTTCTGGGACAGAGAAATATCAAACATACCTCCCATCCCCACACAAAATAAATACATTAAAAAACGCGTACCGTTGCATAAGATGCTTTAGATTAGAATCTTCGGTCGATTTTATCGCTCCATCCCGTAGGATGACTGCTGCAACTAAGGAAAGCTGAAAACCTATCTGGCCATTCCCTCCCTCCTGTTGCTGATTTCTCTCACGAATGAATGCACAGTTGACCGTCACGTTCCACCAGCTATATGAACGATCTTCCCCGATGTCACTATGACATAACACTGAGGGCAACTCTGCACAATATCTAGCCCTCCATCACCAATGAGAGCACGCTCAGAGAAAAGAAAGGACAGTTGTCACACCTCGTCGTACGTTGCAAGACACCTAGCGGAACAAATCCTCAGATCTGAGAGGAACCATCAGAGCAGCTAATAGCTCGTAAAATCTCACGCACTCACCTGTAAGCTGAGTTGAGCAATGGACGTGTTTCTATTTCCCCTGTGGGTCTCTCTTCACGCCCTAATGCAATGTCACGTTTGTGCTCACCGTAATGATCATGACACGGAACATCACGACACCGCAGCTGTAAACAGTGGAAAGCGATCGTCTCGGGATGTTTTTGTCCGTTCAGGGGTTTGGTGGTCTTCGCTGGACAGTTAGTGGTCGTGTAAAAGTCTGTTTTCAATTGCGTGCTGTACCACAACACTGGCACACTTGTTCTACACGAGGACGAGACTACGGAAACGTTTTAAAGGTAACATATATCCTGCTAGATGTTGGTAGTTTCAAGGTTCCCAGTTTCCTAGCAACAAAACACACGTTTTTGTTGGTTACGCCTCCCAAGTGACAAAGAACCTTAATTTCGTAAAATTATATAATGTAAGGATTTATTACAATTTATCAAAAGCTGCCTGAGATACGCCAACACACTGTCTGCCAGCAAGCTAGCAAACCACCTCACATCATGTCACCACCACCTGTTACCGGGGCCGATAAAAGTCGCCCACTGTCCGACCCTGACGAAACCCGGTCGTCTCTCTCACGCTGAGAACACGGCACATGTTGTAACTGGGAAACAGCCACTTCCTCCCAGGATAGTTAGCTTATTTCCCGGCGGGCGGGGCGCCGTGGGGGGGGGGGGGGAGAGAGGGAGTCGAAGGGCCCTTCACCTTCCGTTTCTGCGAGACATGACTGCGAGCAAGGTCGAGCCACTCTCCAGACGGCAGGCCATTCAGTGAAAGTGACCAAAAATCATCACCATCATTGCCGGAGAGCTCAGAATAGACCTTGACTCTAGAACGGCCAACGACTATCTTAGAAACGGTAGCGCGGGAAGCGACGATTTGTTCATGGCTCGTAAATACAGTAGCGGCGCGCAAAGACGCTTCTGGCGCAAGGAACTATTCCTGGCGTATGGTGGCGTTCAGAGCGGTGTGACGCTTCAGCTTGCCACGCGGTGAGACAATCACGGGCTGAGACGTGCCCGGGGCATGTTGGTACCACCGTCTGTACTTTCTCTGGCATTGTCTGGATCAGCGTTCCGACTTGGGCGTGCCGCCCGCCCCGGTAGCGAATGGCTTCCGTTCCATTGGTAATTTAACCTTCGGAAGGAATGTGTCCTCATGAGACAGTTACCATTCTCCCGTGCGCCACAAGAGAATTCGAAATTGTGTAGGTACTGTGCGGTGCAGGTCCTATACTGATTACTGGCTCAGTGAAAATTAGCTGATGTATTTTTCACTACTGCCTAATTCAATCCTTCCTGTGTTGCCTGCAAAAATATTTATGAAATGAGGAGGGTGATGACTGATGATGAATGTTTCTACCGGCTGCAAATCGTATTTTGCATATTAGAAAACGCGTTAATGTCCACTGGCGATTTTATAGCATGGCGTAAGCGTATTTTCTCCTGTGCAGAGTGCAAATTGCACTCACTAGTGAATGCATAATCATCGATGTCACCGACAAAATTTGTACATAGTCAATATCATCATCAATTAAAGGAAATGCTCACCAAGTGATTTGAAACAAGACTGGGAGTTGGCTTTGATGATCATACCACAAATTTAAAAACGGCACAACACAATGAAAAAAAAAAATTATTGATGCCTCCAAATAACACAACAGTGCACTTCCCAAGGGGTAATCAACACTGTTAAAGGATCATAAAACTACTGCAAAGAAAGCACCCAGATGGGACAGGATGCTGGTAGATTCTGGGAGACTGCAACGAAGCATATCATACAAACACTAATGGCCGGTACCTTCAACGGAGACCATGAAACGAGCACTAGCAAAGCCCTGTGGGAATGGACGTATGGACAATATGGGGATGTCTTCCCACATCCAAGACACTGTCGATTAGGTATTAGCCAGTGGAATAAATAGCTCAGAGGCTGATAAAATGATATTGGCGTACCTACATACAGGATGGTAGGCAATGCACAGAAGATGTATGCCCTTTACAATGGTACACTTGTGTCATATATTCACTTGCATTTAGTGTATCTGCTATATGTTGTACTATTGCGCGCGATTGTTGGTATGCTTGATCCAAATGTGGTACACTGTTTTAACCCTCGCCCATGTAGGGGGGGGGTTGGTGCAACCCCCCCCCCCCATGAGGTTTTTCTTAGCTACACGCCGAACCGTTTCAGATAACCTGCTCAAATTTTCAGTACTCTTTGGGGCATCCTTTGCGCAACTTTTGGTAAAATAAAAATTGTCAAGGTCATGTCAGGTCACGGAGTTATGACGTCATAAAGGGAACAACCTCCGGCCAGATTTACGCTAAATTGGAGATTGCTTCACAATGGTATAAATGCCGACTGACCTGACACACTGATGGATTGTTTTAGAATCATAACTGGCTGATTTGACATTGGCACAATGTCCGTTGACCTTTTCAAGGTTACTAAAGGTCAAGGTCAGGTCAGTGACCTCGGATGACCTGTAATGACTTCTTGCACTTGTATGCCTTTTCGGGGTATTTTGATGCCCTGAATTCGAATTTGCTATCCATTTCAGGCATCGTCAGTTGTTTCTTGTAGTTCATTTTGGGTCAGGGTCAGGTCAGTGACGTCACACGCCTGACGTGACCCAATGCACAAATGACCTTGCAGACTTCCGATGCTCCCAACGCATCATTTTTAGAGTTATGACATCGAAATACACACCAAACGATAGAGAATTGATCAAGGATCACGATAGTGAAGGTTTCAAGTCGATATCTCTTACCGTTTTGCCGCAATCGGCGCGGAAATCTGAAAAAGTTAGATTTTTCCGAAAATTTGACCTTTGACCGGTCATAAGTAGGTCAAATGTTGACCTAGGACCAAAAAATATACCACCAATCGCGAGATCCCGTTGAGCGCAATCCGTTGGTCTTTTCCGCTAAGCTCTACGACGCTCCGTTTTCAAACGCCAGGGGGGTCGCACCAACCCCCCCCCCCTGCATGGGCGAAGGTGGCAAAATACCGTTTACGGGCGAGGGTTAAACACAATCATTTTTACTTCACGTATATAGTAATCCAGCCAGTATAACTTGGTAAGCAATCCTTACAAGACGGATCAATTCGGCTTAAAGAGGAATGCTAAAAAGGCAAAACGATTCACTACGCAAGATATTACCTTGGAGGCCTTACCACGAGGCAAGAATTTACGCAGCATGCTTCATACGCACAACAATACAAACAACGCAAACAACACAAACAAGATAAAGACGCTTTTACGACGGATGTCAAAAACAGACTCCGTGCTTCGACATTAACAAATTCCAAAGAAATAGATCAAGCCCAAGAACTATGACTTTTGTCAGACAAGACTAACCACGGCTCTCTTTAAAAACAGACGGTGTACTTTTAGCGACTCAACGACACCCTACGACTCTGACGTCATCCGACATCGACCAATCAAAAGACGTGCTTACTGCTTACCGTGACCACTGAAGATCCCGGAACGAGGAGAGCTGAAATATCACTCCTTACAGGCCGGAGTGATTCAAAAGGGACTATTTGATGATCTGCAAGCAATATTTGGGCCCGCCAAACCAACAGAAAGCGCAGAAAACGCAACGACCCCCGTCACCACAACCAACACAACCGAGGCGTCCAAAGAAAAACGGTGCGAAGAAGAATGCAAAAATGGGTTTGCAGGTAAAATAAGTAGGCTGCATTTCGAAACATATCGAAAACAAGATGCCCCTTATTTGAAAGTAGACATCGCTGCAAACAAAATAACTAAATGTTTATGGAAGTATCATAAAAAAGACGTAGATCCGTCTTACGTCATCACATTACCTCTTTTTTCTTAGTCTAAGCATCACAACGGCAGATCAACGTCATCTCACAATGACAGATTCAGGTCATCAACACAGTAAACTACTTGCACGACCCACAATTTTACAAGCCAATACCAATAGGATGTTTGCATTAGTCTTGCAGCTCTGCCCGCTTTCAACGTCACTCAATAAAGTGTGCATTTGGGTTGCAGCTCTCCTGTTCAACTATTGACCACTCCCTTATTGAGTTGGTCTGTCTAGGTCGTACATCTCGGTAGTAACGTGATCAAACGTGACGTTAACATTTGCTTTGTGTTTCTCTCTCTCTCTCTCTCTCTCTCTCTCTCTCTCTCTCTCTCTCTCTCTCTCTCTCTCTCTCTCTCTCTCTCTCTCTCTCTCTCTCTCTCTCTCTCTCTCTCTCTCTCTCTCTCTCTCTCTCTCTCTCTCTCTCTCTCTCTCTCCCTCTCTCTCTCTCTCTCTCTCTCTCTCTCTCTCTCTCTCTCTCTCTCTCTCTCTCTCTCTCTCTCTCTCTCTCTCTCCTCTCTCTCTCTCTCTCTCTCTCTCTCTCTCTCTCTCTCTCTCTCTCTCTCTCTCTCTCTCTCTCTCTCTCTCTCTCTCTCTCTCTCTCTCTCTCTCTCTCTCTCTCTCTCTCTCTCTCTCTCTCTCTCTCTCTCTCTCTCTCTCTCTCTCTCTCTCTCTCTCTCTCTCTCTCTCTCTCTCTCTCTTTTCGCCTACCAACAACCTATCTACAGTGTATGTGCGCATGTAAATATGTAGCAGCTGTGGGATAGAAGGTAGCTTTAGCTTTTTGGTAAATGACTCCTTAATACAAGCAGTTAACTCTTGAAATATACTCTTAATAGCGTGAGAACCCAAATCAACATTGAAAGCAGCTCTTTAAGGTGCTCTCATTCGTGCTTGGATCGAAAGCCGTTCCCTGACCTTTGTGCTTCACATCCGTATTTGTACATTGATGTTTTAGCCAAGTTGTGTACAAAGGCAGCAATACCAGTTAACAAGAGCACCGCAAATGCAAAAAGGTGGAAACGCACGAAGCTTCAGCTTTTACTGTATTGTACTGCATATAATCGTTTTGCTAATGTAGATGTACATAAGGCTGTACAAAGGCTATCTACTGAGCTACATTAACACTAATACATATAACTTATGTCCTGTTATTACCTGTGAAACCAGTGGCCGTGTATACTATTGTGCAGCAATTTATCTTCCAATCAACACCACTTATATGACAACATATTCTGATCTACCTGCTACTCTTACTCATTTAATATTCGAGCCGTGTTTATTGTAGGTATTACATACCTGTCACAACGACTTAAATGTAAAACCTTTTTAATCGGTAACTTGTAAGTACGTCCCAAATTTTGACACTTTGACAATTGCATAGCAGGATGCATAAAATATAATATACCGATACACTTCCAAGTGTCAATAACCCCAATAAGCGTTTTCAATAGAAGGTCACTCCCTGTGTATCTATGTTCCCCGGTGTACGCTCACCAGTCCCACTGTGCGCCTCCCGCAGCGTGTGGGGTACCGAACCGCAGCACTCGGGTGGTGGGCGGCCGGCCCTCACGGATCAACGAGTACCCGTGGACGGTGGCACTCACCTACCGGGGCCGCTTCTACTGCGGGGGCACTCTCATCAACGACCGATACGTGCTCACCGCCGCGCACTGCATCAACGGGTGCGTATGTGTATGAGAATGGCCCACTGTGTGATTTAGTGCTTTTCCAAGGTAGCTGCATGCCCCTTAATAAATCAGGACAAGAAACTTCAAACATATCATTACTTAAAAAGCTGGGGCCCACTGTTTTTTTTATTGTTTTTTTTTTACTGGCCACCTCTCCGATTTACTTCGACTCTTTCACCTGGCTGCCGCTCAACTGGGCGAATCTTACATAATCGAAATCACGGTTCAAAATATTGTCGTGTTTATTTCTTTCGTATCTCATAATGTTTCATTCATTCATCCATCCATCCATCCATCCATCCATCCATCCATCCATCCTTCCATTCATCCATACATCCATCCATCCATCCATTCATTCACACATTCATTCATTCATTCATTCATTCATTCATTCATTCATTCATTCATTCATTCATTCATTCATTCATTCATTCATTAAATACATGTACAACAGTTACTTTTCATTCATTCTCTCATTTATCCAGTCACATTTCTTTTCTATATATCTCTTCTCTCTCCATTCCTCTCTCCGTTTCTCGGTCGTAGAACAATATCCCCACTTGCGTCACGCACTCAGCCCCACTGTGCGTGCGGTGCGCCGTGTGACCGGTGTATGCTCCCGTGACGTCATTAAAATCGTTCCGTCGTCACGCTCCCAAAGGCAGCGAGTTTCTCCGAACGCTGTGAGACACACAGTCATCTGGTGTCGGCTGCGTTCAGGTGTTCGGCAGGTACTGATGAAACATCTGTTTCATGGTCACTCGTGATTTCTCGGCTTTAAGTAAAATATTTGAGCGGATTTGATGGATGAAATGTGGCAAATGTATTCTACAATGGTGACAGAAAAGCACTTACTAAGTCCGCTAAAGATTTATTAAACAAAAACACCAGAGTTCAGGGATTATCAAAAGGAAGACCACTTGGCTCAGCCTACTCCTAGCTCTCGTCGACAAAGTAAAAATGAAAACCACTCTTTAGAAGAAGAAATGTATTTAAGGCCGTTAAACATAAGGTTCAACATGACAACCACATTTCAGCCATGAAAAATGACAACTCATGACTTGGATACCAGCCATCAAACATGCTACGCTAGTGCTATTAGTCCGCTCCATTTCGTCTCTTGTCGAAACTAAAGCTTACGGAACGCTAGCCACTCTTCTCTAGCATGACTTGGCACTTGCTAACTTCCGTTTACTACGCTAGCTCAACCGTATCAGCAGAAATGTCTAAATCACGGTGTAGCTCTCACGTGACGTGTCGCGTCGGATACCACGGCTAGAAATATACTTCCGAGCGGAACCGTTGTCACGCCACGGTGCGGGCCATCTGTAAATGCCGTGAAAGTGAGAATGGATGCTTCGAAATCGGAGGACCATCACACGACAGTCGCAGATCAATGAACATCGTTGGTCATTTATGAGTGTAAATGGTGCCTCGTTTCAGTACCATTCCCTTTATCCGAATAGGACATTGAATGACAATCTCATTTGCTAGCGAATGTATGAAACGTGTTGAGCACCAGATTTTAAAAGGAGAGAGAACTTCATTGGCTATCAGCAGGCTAGGGTTTATGTTTGATTTTATCTTCGAATAAAATGCTAATTTTATTTTTAATTCAATTTCATTCAAACTCGCATGTATTTCAACCATAGCATTCATCCACATTCATTTAAGCACATCTTTCTACCAAAACGTGTTTCGTAATCAATATTGTACATATGTACGAACATGGCGTGTTTCTATCCACAACAGGCTGAACCACCATCGGGTCGAGGTCACGCTGGGGGAGCACGACCGGAATCTGCCCTTCGAGGCCATCACACTCAAAACGAAGGTGCTCTGGTGGCTGAAACATCCCGAGTTTGACGCCAAAACGTTCAACAACGACATCGCCGTGATACGCATGAAGGACCCGGTGGATTTTAGCCGCATTATGAGGCCTGTCTGTCTGCCCAAACCAGGTGAGGATGATGGTTTACTTTGACGCAAAACATTTTCGCACCCCCACCCCAAAAAAACTAGTTTGATTAATGCAACAAATGAGCATCGCTTTGCACATGCCTGATATTCACTCAGTAAGCATACCTCGTAAGAGTATGCACTATGCAGCTCTTGTTGACCAATCTCGCCAAGAGAAACTGATAGAGAAACCGCATCCCAAGGCGTCAGAATCAGGATGCACGTGCTCGTCGAAACAAAATCAGCTCGAATGTGGCGCAACAAATGCAAATGCAATCGCATACCTGAGCAGATCTTTCACTGGACTGAACGCCATACATCATTTGTGACATTATCGTAACGTTCGCGGGTTGCATGTGCAGCAGCCTACCTACAAGCCAAGCTGCTCATGGTGCCCCTCAGGTTACTTCTCCATGTGTAATTTCTAGGATACCTAGCGTTTATATAACTAGCTTTGGGCCCTAAAGAGAGGAATTTAAGATGCCGAATAGATAAAAGGTAATATGTTGACAGTTTTATAAAATACTATATTTGAAATCCTTCAGGCAACTAAAAAAAAAAAATCCTTCTCTTACTAGCTTTTAAAACAAGTTCTAAACACAACACAGGCCTTAAAATGAGTAAAGACTATAGCCTCCTCTGATTAAGCCCTAAATCGTCCCCCACTCAGCGTCACTAACCGATGGTCTCTCCCACTCCCAGGTTACAACTACACCGGCGAGAAGGTGACAGTGGTCGGATGGGGTCGGACCTCCGAGGGCGGCAACACGGCCAACCTGCTGCAGGAGGTGCTGCTGCCCGTCTTCAGCAACGCCGAGTGTCGGAGCCTAAAGTATGATCCGGAAGAAATCACCAACAACATGCTCTGCGCCGGCTACACGCAGGGAAAGATCGACGCCTGTCAGGTTAGTCCCAAGGGTGTTGGAGTGCTTCATCGGATAGTTAAGTGCTGAACGGGTCATGTATGCGGTTTCTAGTTGCTCTTGTAGTTCTTGGAACAAAAAAGTCAGCTAGACCAGCTTTCTTACAAATAACACATGCATAAAAAATTGGTAGCATTGGTGTGCTGCCAACCACTGCAAAGCTTGAAACCACTCCAAAACACTCGACACTCGAAAACAATCGCCGCTTTTAAGTTCACCTCTTTCAAATCGTTTCTATTTCGCACTAAAATATTCAGAAACTTCAACTTTCAAGTGGTTTTATAGTGTGGCATGTGCGTTACAGTCATGTCAGAAATCAGATACTGAGGCCAGTTTTACCAAAAAAAATACCAGCCGGCCGCCGAAATAAAATATCCAGCCGAAAAAATAGCCGCCACACAGCCACGAGTTTCACCAACAAAAAAATTCCAGCCGACTTCGGCCGGAAATATTTGTCGCCGGCAGTCAGCTGATATTTTTATATCGATAATGGTCAAGGAGATTGATAAATGATTTAAAACATGTTTTAATTAAATTTAAGCGCGTTTTTTAATGCAAATAGCACAAATACTTTGCAATATTATTATTGGAAAACATTATATATATTTTTAATAGTTGTAACCGCAAAATAGATCATAATAACTTGCCAATACAAGACCACCAAATTGTAAACCTACGTCATTTATGAAGGTGACGATAGGAAGCGTGCGTTTAAGTGGATCTTTTTTCCTGTCAGCCTATTATATTTCATTTTTACAATACTTTCAAGTAGCAATTTACCTTTTTGTCTGCTTTTATTTGCACCTTGTAGAAAATCATCGTGTCGAACGTGCACGCAATGTATGGACCCCCACTCCCACCTTTTATGAGGTGGGGACTATGATAGATGGGACCCGCTCCCGACGGATCCGGGAGTCGCACCTCTTTCCTAGATGTGGAAAGAGTGGGGAAGAAGCGGCAAATATTGTTCCCAGAGGCGCCACCTGAAGCTGGACGGACAGTTCCGCTGCCGAGCGAGTGAACTGCGGTGCTGCGAGGCGGCTTCGCGCGCACTGCATTACACCTACTTCTAGGACCGAGGGCTAAGGATTCGCCAAGGCCTATATAAAGCCTTGTGCCAAGGCGAGTGTCTTACCTCAGGAAGATACCTACCCAGATTAACTGCACCGCGGTCATTGCAGGGCTGAGGGCGGTCGTTCGCCCCACTTCGGCGAGGTGGAGGTCATGCTGCCCGGCTAGGTGGTTTCAGCTGATATGCAGGCCCCGTTTGCCGGGCCCGGTCAAGACGAAGGAACGCCACACAGCAAACAATATAAGCTCCGGCCCCGCTACACTGGTCCGGCTCGTAACAATACCTGCGCTAGCTTCGTCGACCGTCGTTCGACTGCGCCCAGTACCGCTCAGTGGAGAGTCCTGCCGAACTCATCCACGTGTGCCGAGATCATTCGTTGCGCACGGACACAATCGTCCGACGGAGACCGCTTTACATGATGATCGCGTGGTGACCACCTTTTCGCCGGCTTCCACGCCCAGTCGAGCCGTCCGGCTACGCCCCAACCTAATGATCGCTCTAAGCCTTTCGACTGGTTTGCAAAACTCGGCTCTAATATCGAAGTATTTGGGAGTTATGACACGTTAAAACCGTGTTCATGAACAAATATACATTATGCAACTAAAAACGCCTTACTTACTTTAACTTTTCTAAGCTGATGACAACCTATTCATTGTAATATTTCTAAAATGTAAATAAATCATGAGCGATGAGCATAAAAAGGTGAAAAAAGCCATCAACTAGAAGCTAGTGTGGAAATCCACTGACGTAGGTCGCCTCGTACTGGCGCAGCTCGTACAGCGGCACCGGCGTCTCCCGCACCCGGCCGTCCGCCTTGCCCGCCTGCGCCATCAGCCGCTGGAAATGGCTGCGCTGCCGCTCAAACATTAGCGTGACCGCCTGGCCGGCCCGGCTGACGCGCGCCGTCCGACGCACGCAGTGTGCCTTCAACAGCGCCGAGATGTCGTACGACACGACCGCGTCCACGGCGTCCACGTCAATACCGCGCGCCATAGCCTCGAGCACACCAGCGCGGCCATCTCAGCTAGCGCGCGCCGCCGCTGGCCCGCCGGCACTGCCCCAGGGAACTCGGCCTCGCGCGCGCCCAGCACCGACAGCGGTAGCTCCAGCTGGTGCGCCGCCTCGTTCCAGTTGACCAACACGAGCGAGCGCCGCCAGTCGGGCTGTCGGAGCAAATTGTGCATCAGCAGCGGCTTCAGCGGCTGCGGCGCCACCACGTTGAACGACTCGCTCAGCTCGGCCGGCGTGGTGAACCTGCCGACGAACTGACCGGACGAATGCGACGGCGGCGGCCGCCGTGCCGCCTGCCGGCCACCAGCAGTCGCGGCTGGAACAGCGACATTCGCTCCAGCTTCTCCGGCCTCCGGGTTCTGTGACAGGGTGGCCAAGAACGGCAGCTTCTGCAGCGGCAGGTGAGGCGCGCAGACGGCGGCGGCCGTCAGCCGGCCGGCGATGCAGGGCGGCGGGCCGTGGCCGCCGCCACCCGCTCCACCGCTTTCAGTCAGCCCGTCTCGGCCATCTCGATCACCCGGTCGGCTTCGTCGATCACCAGGTAGCGCAGGTGCGCTAGCGAGAAGCCCTCGGCGCTGGTTATGTGATCCATCAGCCAGCCGGGAGTGCTCACCACGATCAGCCAGGGAGACCGGGCCGCGCGGCCCCACCGCCACCAGTTGGTGCCCCCCTCGTGCCACTGTGTCTCCACCCAGCAGCCGGACGCAGAGCGGCGTGTCGGCGTCGTACTGGCGGAACACGGCGGGCACCTGAGCGGGCAGCGCCTGTATGGGTAGCACAGCTAGCGCACGCACCCGGCGGCCGGCGCACCGCGGCGCCGCGCCTGCACCAGCGGCAGCACGAACGCCAGCGTCTAACCGCGGCCGGCCGGCGCCGAGACGCAGAGGTCGGCCGGTGGCAGCGGCGACTCTGCGGCCGCCAGCAGCTCGGGCAGCACCGTCACCTGCACCAAGAACACCTGTTCGATGCCCTCGGCGGCCAGCCGGGCGCGCAGCTCGGGGCAGAGCGCCGGCAGATTGGCCGGCGCCGGCCGCCGGTCGCCAATCGGCTGCGGGTGCGCCAGCCAGTCGGGCAGCGCACGCGGTGCACGGCCTGTCGGCTCGAGCGCTCCACCTCGTCCAGCACGGTGAAGTCGTCCGCGGCGGCGTCTCCGTCCGACTCGGAGGTGTCCTCACTGTCGTTATTGGCGACGGCAGCTGCCGCTGTGCGCTCAGTCAGGTCGGCCATCACAGCAACACTCGCCGATGATTGGCGTCATCGAAACCGTCGGACGACGGTGGATTCACCACCGTTTTTGCAGCAGAGACTGGAAAAACCTCAGCAATAAACAAGGGAAAACTTCACAACATGCCACAGCCCGCAATTGTGCATATTGTCATTTTATTTCTCACATGACAGAAAATATTGGCTGCTTTATTCTAGGAACTGGCATGAAAAACATAAGCTAAAATCAAGCTAAGTGAATTATTATTGTATTTCAACATGAGACTGGGAAAAAATCCTTGTCACTGTCAACATGACCAGTGTAATGGTAACGGACGGGCTGCATGAACATTTCAGCGCATGAGCTGAAAACTCTGTGTGCAGAAATTTCAGCGCTGAGGTGAACAAATAACATTTCGGCCGCAATCTGCCTGGTGCCTCAACAATTTAGCAAAACTAACTCACAATACTTACAGCCAGTTTTAACACCCTGCATGACTCATGCATGCAAGATATACATGCATTCAATATCAGCAAAGTGCACACACAACAGTTATGGATTCATTTACATTTTACATTACTATTATTTTCTTTTCCTTCAATATTGGCAGCATGACTTGCTGAGTTCAGTGGCACAATCTTATGACAGCATTCAGCAAGTTTGTTCAGGTTCGCAACCACGCAAACTTTGCACGTTTTGCTTCAAAAACAAGCCTTTATACATTTCTTTCATGCTATTCAATTTCTTTTTTTTTTAAATTTATTGTCATTTATCTTGAAAATCTTGCCATTTTGGTCTTAGCAATGTCAATGCACCTTCCCTATTCTGCACAGCTCAAGTAAGTTCCACCCAAAAGTAGTAGTATCAGTAGCTGGTGCCTTGCAATGTCAAATGTAGCTGAATATGTGAAAACAGTGACATATTTATTTAAAATCTTGAGTCCAATGAGCCTGCCCTCTCTGCCTCTCCTTCCAGCATTTCTTCAAGCACCTTCAATTTTCAAAAATGACCTTCCATCATTATTTTCCACTTCCGTGCGAGCAATGAACTTGTAAGCTGACCACTAGTTAATGCGCTATCATCTTTCTGTTGGGTGCTTGTAGCAAAAAGATAATATAAAACGAAAAAACTAACACCACAACACCAAACACCAGTCTTGTTGGTTCCTTTTGGTCCTGCCTGGTGACAAAGGCTCTTTCTTTACGCAATATCATCAGTATTCCTCTTCTAATCTTGAAGCCCAGATGCTTTACAAATTGGCCATGAATGATACTAAATTATTATATCAACTGGGAAGCGCAAATCACGATAATTAGTAACAAATGAGGCCAATTGTTCCAACACGACATCAAAAAAATAGACGGGGTCGCCCGTCTATTTTTTGGGCTGTTTTTCTACAAATAATGGCGCAAAATAACACTCCATTAATGCCGCATTTGCCGTTGGTGAAACTCATTGGCTATTTTTCTGGCTGATATTTTTTCACGCCGGCGGATATTTTTTCGCCTGGTTGGTGAAACTCGTCGGCTGGTTTTTGACAGAAAAATTGCGCCGGGCTGCTATTTTTCTGTTGGTAAAACTGGCCTCAGATGTACATTGTACAGAATACAACAAACAAATGCACCAAAAACCACATCGACAGACATCTAGACTAGCCCCACCACACCCCTGATAGATACATCGCCGGCAGACGGTGTCACTTTCTACCCCGCGACAAGCGGTGCGGCACATTTCCCACGGAAAACGACAAAAGTGAAACTTAATTCGCGTCGCTGCCGACACTGGTGACGGCTGCAGATGCCCCCGGGCGGTTTTGGCGGTCAGACGTGCTCCCCTCAACTGGAGCTTGTCCCACGGAACGAAAGAGCCTGAATGAACGGGCGCTTCGCGACGAGCTGCCAACTGGCGGCAGTGGTCGCGTGAGATCTCGCTGAAGTGATTAATTTGCTAATTGGTATGTTGATGTGAAGGTTGTCGTTAAATCATTAGGCGTGGAAAATATGGTTCATGAGTGATAGCAGCTTGAAGATTGCGTAATATGTTGAAGTCGCTTACGATTATAGCTTCTGTCTGATGCACCACTGGAAGAAAAGAAGTTTGAAGAAAATGGTAAATCATGTGCGCGCTTGAAATGAATTTCTTATTCCAAATGTATTGGCATAACAAAGCCGGTAATGAGGATCACTTTGTCATGGATGGCGAATACTTAGATTGACAATTTACAGTGCCGATGTATGTAGTCGTCAGCTGGAAACACACGTGAAACTCTCCTTTTCCCTGTTGGGCATTCAAGCGAGGTACAATGCTTGCATTATAGAAGCCTGCTATACGTAGGTAATTTTAATAGGAACAGACGTTTCTTCGGCTAGTAAAACAAGGCACCTATGGATATTCTAAACACGCAAAAAAGTCAAAACACCTATTTCCAACTTCAAATAGTTGTTTTGATACTAACGAGCTTCTCAATGAACATTCAAATTACCCTGAGACTCAATTATACACTGATCATCGCCTAACCTAAAGACGCCTTTCAACCAAAAGTCTAAAACTCTGTATGAGTGGATCCCGAAAAAAATCCACAGCCCCTCGCGTTTCAGCGTAGGTACCCACAACTTCTAAATCCATCGCCGCCACCCAAGCAAACACCACAGTCACGCACAGCTACGAGCGAGACCAAGAGAAACAACCACGGACACGCGACCAATCGACAACAATTGACCGAAAAGTGGGACGCTTTTTCGGCGGCACGCTCGCACCCAGTGCACGAGCGCCTCAGGGCACGTGCACGGGTAAGTGCACAGTCACACGCACGGAGCGCGCACATGAATCGTGCACGTGCATTTTGAGCTCCATGTGAACCGCAAACTCCCGGAACGCGTTCCCAAAGCGCGTACCGTTTCGTGTGAACGCGTTTATAAACGAGCCGTGTAAGTGCGTGAGTAGATTCAGGGCGTAGCTCGGCCGTGGTGCGTGTGAGAAGCCCATTCGTGTCGTGCCGTTTCTGTGCGTGAGAGTTTCTCTGACACACAGGAGCTGTATTAGCGGTGCATGATGCGCTTAGGCGTAGAAATAGCAGTTGTACGGACTGATAACGCGCGTGGTTTGTTTTTGTTTTGCAGGGAGACAGCGGAGGACCAATGCTATGGCAGTCCAAAGACGGAAAGACAGATCTTATCGGTAAGTTTCAAATGCTGAAATTTAAAAGTAAATGCCGCATTAGAGGTGCTACGCGGAGAGCGTTACGAATGTATTCAGCCAAGAACACCGCATAATCCATACACCTCACGTACTGTGGAAGCGAAGTGCTAATAACTGTTCATGCAAACATAATTTCCTGTCAGCAATAGTTTAAATGGCTGTGAAGGTGGTAATGAACGATGCTGCGACGATTATTACGGCTTGTAACTATTACGTAACAGTTAATTTAGGTGTTGCTAAAGACAAGAGCAATGAGCTCAGTCGATAATTATGAACTCGTAGATTACCAGCCCCGTAATTAGTAGCAATGTAAGCTACATGGCACCTTTCTGGTTGAAAGCGTAGAATGGCATAGGTCGGAAATACCCTCAATTAATCATCCAGGTTTCATGACCCTCCACACCCTGAACTGTGAGTTTGCTCCTCACACCTCCCTCTACATTAGCACCCTGACCCCCTACGCCCTCCCCGTCAGGTATCGTCAGTTGGGGCCAGGGCTGCGGCCGGCCCGGTCTGCCCGGCGTCTACACTCGAGTCGTCAACTACCTCGACTGGATCGAAGAGAACACCCCGGACGCGTGTTACTGCGGCCGGCGCACACCGCGAGGCCGTCGCCACGCGCCCGGAGGAGCGCAAAGCAGCGCGAACGGAGCGGGCGGGTCGACGCATTCCTCAGATTCCGCCACCGCAGCCAGTGGCTCCCAGCACACGAGATCTACCTCGCCAACCGGCCGCCGGCGCGTGGCCAATGTCGACCCCGACCGGCACGTGAGGGTGGACCGTGACACCCACAGCGTCACGGTGGACCACAACACACCCGTGACGACCGGGTCAGAGCCGACCCGACCCGTCTCAACCGCCAGCCAACTCCGACACAGGAGCTAACGGCTCTGGGACTGTGCATAGTACTCGTACTTCCTATGTAGCGCACGGCGCCGACCGTGGCGCAGCAGAGTCAACCGTGGCGCGCGGCGGCACGACGTCACAGTCACCGGTGGCGGCGGGTAATTGCCGTCACCCCCGGCCTCCGCCGCGCCGGCGCGCCGCCCGGTGACCTCTGAAGTGGAACACCAGCTGACCCATTTCCCGGCTAGCCGGTGCCATGCGGCGCTATGCGGGCCGGCCGACCGGCCGGCCGACCTGACCGGCCGGCACCGCACCGCGCCGTTCTCCGCCCGCCGTTCTCCGCCCGCCGCCTCCAGTCACAGGCGGAGGAGGAGGCGAAAGCGGGGGCGGGGCGGAAAGGCGGAGGCGGCGCGGCGGTGGAAAAATGCGGAAAAGCGGAATCGGCAAAGTGGTCGCTGTGACGGAGGCGATAGAAGTCACGAATTAGAATCAAAGGTCGAGTTAGCGTGGTGAAAAGTGACCGGAAGGTCATCGGAAGGTCAGCGAATGAGTCCAAAAAAAAGCTCAGTGGTGCTGCTTCTAAGCGGCAAAACTACCGTAGTGGACACAAACTCGACGTGCGTGTGCGTGCATAATATGGATTTTAAGTGGTGTGTTGACTATGTCTTTCAACCCAGCATGGACTGAGGGAGTAGTGTATTAGTGAGAGCAAGGCCGCGAGACCAGAGAGGAGAGAGAGGAGAGGGGAGAGAGGAGAGAGCCGCGCAAAGGATACCGTTCGTCGCTAGCCATGCGAGTAACTAGCTGAACTATGTTACGATAGATGACTGCTGTGTCGCAAGACGTCGCAGTGAATGTAGAGTTCAGTCACGTGACGACGCCGTCGTATGTCCTCATAGTCACATGTTCCCCGAGTGACGTCATGAAAACTACGGTCAATAATTCACACGGTTATCGAACGATTTTCCGAGAGTTGTTACACGTTTCCGTGGTGCTGAAAGCCGCCGATGTTCCTTATTTTGTTGTTCTGTTATCAACACGTTGTACCTCTGCCGCATACAATATGCTGAACGTACAAAGCAACAATAAAATGATGCGTTCTCCGATATGTGTTGCTAGGATTTAATGCAAAGGTTTTGATCCATTTAGTGGGGATTAAAATGTGGATTCGTATGATACAAATTACTCATCCAACATTGAAACATGTCAGCAATTAGTCGTCAATCAAACATGTCGTCAATCAATCATGCCTAGTAGGTACAGTCCACAGCAGAAGTAATGTGGGGTTTTAGTCATGGGTATGTTCTGCTTCTGAAGCTTAGGAACGATTAACCAGACTACAACGAAACTTTGAATGTAGCTTATATGTATCGTCACCCTTGCAGCTGCAACTTTAGCTATTGACATCTTCTTTTCGATCACTCCGCATTAAACAATCGCCAGTCAAAGCCAACCGTTGAGATTGGTAAAACCCTACATTACTTTAGCGGTGGGCTGTACGTGGTGTAGACTAAACTATCTTTCGCATCTTTTTCCGGTTAATACAAGGCATTCACATAGGACCGCTCAAAGTCAGAATTTTGTGCCAATGCCTTGTCAGCAGTCAGTGACTGCGCCAGACGCCAGAAGTCAGATAGAGAGTGCTTGTTTTTCTAAGAGCTTTATCAAACTGCTATCTATAAAACATCACAAATTATATTCTTTACAAGTATTTACCAAATAAATGAGACTGAGACTAGCCATCTTTCCACTCCGGACTTCCGCTTTTCAGTCGCTGATTTCAATGCGCAGGGTTGTGGGCAGGTGGCGCTAGTGTCGATGTACTAACGTAGGTGACGCTGTGGCATTACCCCACCTTTATCGCGGGTTACGGACAAAAGTACGTATCGCTTAAGTACGTAGGACAAAAGTACGTAAGCAAAAGTACGTAGGATTAAAGTACGTATCGCAGAAGTACGTACAGTATAAAGTACGTATGGACAAAAGTACGTCAGGGACAAAAGTACGTATCGCAGAAGTACGTACAATAGGGGAGAGCGGGGAGAGTTGTATCATGTCCAAGTTGTATCAGGGCGAACTGTGCCAAACTTATCCAATGGATGGCGCTCGCGACACGACCAGCCGACGAGGTTTTCCGGGCGCCATCTTTCCCTGTTCTGTCTTGTGGCTGAGTGGACGCGTCTCGAGGTGAGAGCCGATTTTATGTTTTTTTAATGTCATTCTAAAAAAATAAGTTGCAAGAAAATGTGTGTTCTGGGCATTTAGATGTTCACAAATTTGAAAGATCTCCGTAGCGGTGGTGAGGGTAGGTTCTAAGGCTGCGTGAGTGAAAACGGATTTCTCCAGCTGTCCGCTGTTTTTTTAGCACGAGGATATTTTTTCCAAGATGGCGGCTAGGTACATGTTGTATCAGAGCCGGGTGGGGTATATTGTAACATGTATGTTTGTATGTATGTATGGGTATGTTGCTTTTGATCGCGAAAGCTAAGCCCTGGCTCGCGTTTGTAGGTAGCTAGCCAATGCTCGTTCCATTTCGGCATAATGTGTTGGCTTCTTTGCTCTTAACGGGCTACTTTTGCGTCTAGTCTGTTGATGTTTCGTTCGGATTGCACTGACTTAAGTTTGGTCTAATAAAGTGAAGCCTTTGAGCATACCTATACATTTTATTAACCCCATTTAATGTTGTTGTCATGTTCAAAACCAGTAGCAAGCACACTCCCTGAAACGTGAAATAGTGATACAAATTACCCCACCATGTGATACAACTCACCCAAGCCATGGGGCAAGTTGTATCAAAAACATTGTTCTATTCGGGAGACCGTAGAAGAAAAACTGGTAGAGGTAGCGGAAAAGTTACTTTGCACAAAAAAGCAGAAGAATCAAGGAAGGGGATAGTATGGAAATAATGAGTTTATCACGGATAGTTACGAGGTTATGGGTCTCGGAGTAAAAACTGATACAACCCACCCCACTCTCCCCTATAAAGTACGTATGGACAAAAGTACGTCAAGGACAAAAGTACGTATCGCAGAAGTACGTACAGTATAAAGTACGTATGGACAAAAGTACGTCAGGGACAAAAGTACGTATCGCAGAAGTACGTACTGTATAAAGTACGTATGGACAAAAGTACGTCAGGGACAAAAGTACGTATCGCAGAAGTACGTAGGGTATAAAGTACGTATGGACAAAAGTACGTCACGGACAAAAGTACGTATAGCTAATGTACGTAGGGTAAAAAGTACGTATGGACAAAAGTACGTCACGGACAAAAGTACGTATCGCAGAAGTACGTAGGGTATAAAGTACGTATGGACAAAAGTACGTCACGTACAAAAGCCTACCTATAGCAAATGTACGTAGGGTATACCTGAAGTAGGGTAGCCTTGGGCAAGACGCCCCAGATAATTTATTTTGCTACATAGGTACGTACCTACTTTTATCTCACATCACATGGAAGGCCAAATTTGTGCTCAATGTGTTCTTTGGACATTTTACTTTAAATTCCATCCCTCAAATCCATTCACTTATGATCGGACTCCCAGCTAGGAAGTGCTTTGTGAAGCAACTGCAAATGGGGCATTTTGCCCCAACCGTTTGGTATCGCTTTTGTTTGCGTAGCTCTCTTATTTACGGAGTTAGACAGGGGGGGGGCGAAAAACGCCCCTCCCCGGGCTGCGGTGGTTGGAATTACCAGAAGAGAGGATTTTTTCCCAGAACCCTGCCAGTTCCGAGAAACATCGGTGAGGCGTTTTACCTCGGCGGGGCGACTTGCCCCGGTCTACCCTACGTGTGGACAAAAGTACGTCACGGACAAAAGTACGTATAGCAAATGTACGTAGGGTATTAAGTACGTACCTCACCCTTGGGTTAAGTTGATCAATGTGTAATACCTTTCTTATTCTTTATTTAATGAGCATTTGTTACAAGGCATAGCAAAATTTCTCGATGAGTAAATGGGCGAAATGGAGAAAGCTATATTATTTGGTATATGAATTTATCATGAGTTCCCTTATAGTATGGCAACAGAGCAGCAAGAAAACTTTGGCAACTAAAACTAAAACTAAAAAAAAAACTAAAACTACTTTGGCATACGAACCGTACGTACTTTTAACAACGTACTTTTTACACTACGTACTTTTGCATACGAACTTTTGCGTACGAACATTTGCGTACGTACTTTTGGTATACGTACTTTATACACTACGTACTTTTGCATACGTACTTTTGCGTACGAACATTTGCGTACGTACTTTTGGCATACGTACTTTATACACTACGTACTTTTGCATACGAACTTTTGCGTACGAACATTTGCGTACGTACTTTTGTCATACGTACATTTTACACTACGTACTTTTGCAAACGTACTTTTGCGTACGAACATTTGCGTACGTACTTTTGACATACGTACTTTATGCACTACGTACTTTTTCATACGTACGTTTGCGTACGAACATTTGCGTACGTACTTTTGACATACGTACTTTATGCACTACGTACTTTTGCATACGTACTTTTGCGTACGAACATTTGCGTACGTACTTTTGGCATACGAACTTTATCGCCTACGTATATTTGCGTACGAACATTTGCATACGTACTTTTGTCCTACGTACTTTAGCGATACGTACTTTAGTCCTAAAATCATTTATCGCATTGACCCCACCTTCCTTATCCTCGGGACGAGCCCACATCCCCATCGCTGTGCACATTTCCAGGCTCGGAGTGAAGGTCCCCTCACTACAAACCACTAAACAGTGATAGTAGCTCCAATAGAAGCACGTCTTACCAGGATGACCGTTTGAGCAGCTGGGCTTCCTGTCCCAACTGGACGCAAACCGTCTATCACGAACGAACTGTCCCAACTGGACGAGCTGAACTACTGTGCAACACTAGCCATAAATTTCATCAGCCCAATGTCTTCCCCTATCCTCCACTCACATGGTCTTGACGTGATCAATTGTAAGATCAATCGGGTCTCACCAAGTGAAAGAAAACTTAACAGGCCCATAGCATCTTAGTAAAGCATCATGGTGACAATGTAACTGACGCGGTGCGCATATAAGCGATATAACGACCTGTTGCTTTTAGGTCAGACTTAACCGGCGCATGACTGGGGTATTTTCCATAACGCGAGTGACTGAAGGGGGCTCTCCAGACCCCCCCCCCCCCCAACCTATCTCCGAATCTGCTGGGCCGATTGCCCAAATTCAAAACGGCGTCCGATAGCCCTGGAAAAACTGTCGCGCGAAACCTATTTTCATTGAACTCGAGGTCACCGATGACGTCACAGTTCATGTCAAAGTAAAAATTATCAGCATTTTTGCCTGTTCATAATTTAGGGTCTGACCGCCGGCTGACAAGTCTGATCAGGCTCAATTTTAGTTAACGCACTCCTTGTTATATGCCTTAGATACCCTGAGGGTACCGAACCTTTACTTCGTGTATTTCAGATCAATGCCCAGGTCATCCTAGGTCACGAAAATTGTTTATCATGTATCGGTCACGTGACGCATGTTTCATGGTCCATTTTACTCGTAGATTTAGAAAATAATGTCGTCTGTGTTATTTGAGGTCATTTTCAGCTGAATTTACCGGAGGTCAGGTCACTTTCAGGTCAGAAAAGGTCAAATTTTGAAGAAAAAAAAAGATTTTTTTACAAAAAGGTGCCTATTACATGCAGTTTCAGCTCAGGAACACGACGGTGCCATTTATATTGCTGTGCAATGTCAAAAACGTACTGAAAAATTGTTTTGAAAAATATGTAATTGTAAAATTTTGACAATAATGCAGATAGCTTGGCTACTTTTAAGATATTGGGCCAAAACTTGCTCGAGTACTTAATCAGTGTGCGTTCCATCACATATATATTCCGCGTTTTGCGAAAAATCAAAAACTTAAAAAATAAAAATAAAAATATCTATTGAAATTGTAAATACAAATATTCAAAATTTTCAAACTTTCGAAAATTCGAGATAGCAGTTTGATAGGTACGTGTATTTGTAGTCCACTCATGTAAATAAATTGGATCTAGCTTTAATACTGAGCTCTTGAGAGCGTTTGCCGTAGTTCAATATTTTTCATCAAAATCGGCCGACATG